AGATGTGTTCAGAAGCTGTGATATGTGCTGCTGGAGTTGAAAGATCATATCTCCCTTCGCCCCAGTGCTCCCAGACACCACATCCAGCCTAATGTGGGGTGTGGAACTGACTCATGGCTGCTGAGAAGGTTCATGGGCATTGTCTTAAGAGACCAGCTGGTAGCCCAGAGCAGACCCCACTGCAGACCATCAAAGCAGAGTCTGTGCAGTGTCACTACAGTAGCACTGGGCTCAGAATACTTTCAACTGATGTGGAAGCTGAATCATATGCAGCAAGGGGGCAGATCAGATCATCAGCTGGTGGGAATGGACCCAGTTCAGTCACTGCACAGGTCCAGTTCCACCATCCTGTGTGTGTTAAAGCAATGGGAGAACCAGCTCCCACCTGCAAGGAGGTGTCTGCATGAACCAGATTACCCTACAGCAGATACCCGGGGTGGGTCTCACCCCAGGTATGATCCCTGTTCCCCACAAATCCCTCTTCTTTGATTTTCTTTGTTTTGAACAAGATTGCTCTGGCATAAGGTTAGAAAGCAGAGAGGTGAGGCAGTTCTATGTATTTAAAACAAAACAAAAAGTGTTGGTGACAGTGGTAGTTGCTGTGGACAGGGCTATGTCTCCAAGGGGCTTCAAGGATGTGAGCATCCATCATCCCACGCAGAGCTAAGAAAGGCCAAGAACAGTCCTGCCTTCCTTCCCCCTACCCATAAACCTGTCACTGTTGAAATCAACCAGGAAACACTGGTGTCTACTGATGCCTGAAGGGACACAGGACCACCTAAGGGAAATCGCAGAAAAACAACAAAATGTAATATATGCATTCCAGCTTGGCCTGAGAACTGAGAGGCTGTCAGTACCTTGCAGGTTCCCTGCTGAGTTTTGCTGATGTGACGCAAACAAGTCAAAACCTCCTCTGGAGGTGAGCAGGACAGCACACTGGGTTGGATGAGGATTCACAATGAGGATGGGCTTCCTTCACTCTCTTGGCAGCCAGGAGAAGCACCAAGAGCTACCCAGAAGTTTTGTCAGTTCTGCTATTATTCAGTGCAAGAATTCCTGTTTTGTAGCCTTTTTTGGTTAAAGCAAAACAAAAACAAGGGGATTGCATATACCTACCACAATGCTAGATTTTCTTCTGTCAGCAGTGCCCAAACTCCATGCTCTGAAATGCACTTTTGTGGGACTTTTGACTCCAATAATATATCTGGTTACAGCTTACCAGATTGAAAAGATGCCAAGTTGCATGATGTTTCTGTGGGTTTGGGCTGTGGTACACTCAAAAACTGTTTACAGGTAGAAAGAAGCACACCTTTTAAGCAGAGTCCAGATTTTATTGGTTTTGCAGTTAAAGTTTTAACAGTCCTACCAAAATACAGAAGACATTATTAGTCCAATGGCTAACTCAGTGTCATCTGCAAACTTCAAAAATTCAGTGCATGCTCCCTTGTCCGGGTTACTGCTGAAAATGATGAATGAAATGAGAAAATGAGTCCTGGGAGATCTCCTTTGGGATCTTTTCTGCTGACACTTCTCTGAACTGAAAGTGACCTACCCTTTATTTTAACCAAATTCCTACCCACAGAAGGTTTCCTATTCTTTAATAGTTTTTAGCCAAAGACTTTTGAGGTGTCCAGATGTATTACATCTCTTGGACCCACCTGTTTGTAGACACCCTCACAGATGTCTTCCCTTTGCAGTAGGCTGGCTGACTCTTTGCAAGATCATACTTACCTGTATGCTTGTTGACCTTATTCTTCACCATAGTCCCTGATGTCTCACCAAGGACAGTAGTCAGGCCCCTCACTGGCATATCTCTCAGGAGACCCTCTACAGCCCCTTTTGCAGGTGGAATTCAAGTGGCGATCCCCTGTCCTCCAGCACAGTGATCATTTGTGGTGGAGTTATGTACCCTTGAGCCCTGTCTAGCAGCTCTGCAATTTCACATCAAAACTGTTTCTGGACTGTCATGTGAATGACTCATGGTCATATTTAACCGACATTTGTACGTGTAATCCTTCCTCCATATTTACTTCAAACAGATCAGGATCCTCCAATCCATCTGCTAGGGGAAGAACATCAGGTTTAAGATTCTACTGAGCACCTTTAGTGGTAAAATTTGACACTTGGTCACCAAGCAGCTCATCAGTTTCCTAGCTGGACTGCTGCTTTTGATAAATTTGGAAATTTATTAACTGTTAGTGTGAGTGCCCTTTTCCAGATGTCATTCCCATTATTCTTTAGCATTCTCAATGTCCAGCTTACATAGGGCCTGTCACATATTGCAGGCATTTCCGTGCTCTTCATTCTGTCAAGCTTCCCATTTCTCAGTGGCTCCAGGGCTGCTGGCCAGGGCTAGGCCAGGCCAGGCTTTGACACAACAGCCTGACAACCCCTTGGCGAATGTGTTTCGTTTGCATGCTATAGATGATGGGGTTCAACACAGGTGGGACAAAGAGGTAGATGTTGGCCATGAGAACATGGGTAATGGGTGCAGCGTTCTTCCCATACCGGTGTATAATGGACAGGCCGACCATGGGGACATAGAAAATCAGGACAGCAGAGAAGTGAGAAACGCAAGTGTTCAGGGCTTTGGCCTGTGCCTCTCTGGAGGCAATGCCTAGCACGGTCTTAATGATCATGATGTAGGACACAGTGATAAGCACAGGGTCCAGGATCACTATGAGCAGCACTAGAGTTAAGCCATACAGGCTGTTCAGTGTGGTGTTGGTGCATGCCAGCCGTATCATGTCCTGATGAAGGCAGTAGGAGTGAGAAAGCACATGGGACCTGCAGAATGACAACTGCGTAAGAAGGCAGATTAAGGGGAACAGAGTCATAGTGCATCGGCAGATAATCGCCAGTCCAACCTTTGCAATTCTGCTAGGGGTAAGGATGGAGGAATATCTCAGCGGGTAGCAGATGGCCATGTAGCGATCAAAAGCCATGGCCAGAAGCACTGATGACTCCATGAAGGAAAAGGCATGGATGCAGAACATCTGGATGAGGCAGACTGGGAAGCTGATCTCCATGGCACTGAACCAGAACACATGTGGCACCGTAGGCAGGGTGGACAGGGTTAGACCCAGGTCAGTGATCGCCAGCATAGCAAGGAAATAGTACATGGGCTCATGGAGCCTTTGATATGTTCTTACAACCAGAAGGATGGTGCAGTTTCCCAGCATTGCAACAAGATATGTCAGACAGAAAGGAATGACAACCCAGCGGTGTAGATGAGCCAGCCCAGGAATGCCAACCAGCAGGAAGGCCAGGGAATCACTGCTGTTCCCTGACAACATGCTAGCTCTAGGCTCCAGCCTTACTTGGGCTGAATTTCCATTAATATGCCAAGATAACACGGGATAAGATTTCACAGGGAGATGAAAGCAAACTACAAGCAGAATGCAATCTGGTGACTCAGGCTGAAGATCTCATTTCTTTTCTCTTCCCTCAAGATGTGTTGGAGGAGAGGCTAGAACTTCGGAATTCTGCATTCATTTCTTGTCCCGGTTTCATTTCCTCTGGGTTCCTCACCTGTTGAGCAGATATTAGCAGGATTTATTGCACCAGGGCTGCCTCCCTCCCGAGATGCTGGAGTCTCTTCTCCCAGTCACTGTAAGCAACATCACTGTTTGCCCTGTCACTCAGGCCCAGGTCCCTATGTGCACCTGAGCCTCTCTACAGCTCTCTACACCCAGGCATACCAAGTTCACACACTACCAAAGCCTGCCCCAGTATTCCTCAACCTATTCCCTTGCCCAAGGTGAAGCGGCTGTAAGATTTTCTCTGTGCTGGGTTTGTACAGTGCCTGGCACGCTGGGGTTGCGTTCAAGGATGAGGGCTCCCAGGAGTTATGGCAATAGAAGCAATTGCTGAAATTTATCTATGCCCCACTCTGCTCCCAGAGGGTGCATGAGCAGCCTGGCAGGTCTAATGTTTGCAAAGCATCAGCATATCTAGAACATTGCCATTTTCCTTCACTTCAGAGGTTATTGAATTTTATTATTATTTATTTATATTATTTTATCTAATTTATTATTTATTATTGATTTTTATTGCCATCATTACAGTTTTCCTGATAGCAGATCAAGCTGGCTAGAAGCAGTAGCTGTTTCAGTAGATCTGCATGTTAGCAGTGTATATAGCAACTATGACTCTGATGTTATTACAGCTAATAGTTATAGGTAAAATGAAGCAATGTGCACACAAATGCCACGCTCATTTCTTCTACTGAACCATTCACAGCTTCCAAGCCATGACCCACAGTTGCTTCGAGGAGAAAGAGGCGGGTGATGAGAAATGCAACTCATATATGCAAAGCTGCTGTCAGAGGGTAAACATTTTGTATGCAGACTCTGCATTTTTGTGGATTAAAAAAAAATGGATTGTGAAACACACCTATAGCCTGAACAGCTCAGGAAGCAGCAAGCATTTGCAGAGTTGGCTGTTGTTTCCTTCAGGGTCATTGATATGGAACAAGTCAAGCTCCCAGTCCTCCACTCTCCAGAATTTCATGCTCAATCTGCCTACACAAACAAGGGACATGGCATTGCCTAATTTGGGTGTGCTTGACTAAACTCATTAATGTGCTGAGAAAAATGGAAACTGTCCAATTTCCAGCTGCCCAACACCTCAGACAAAGCTCCAGGCATCTGTGCTGTAGGCTCTTATTTAGCTGGCTCAGTAATTGGCTTGATAAGCTAAATTAGCAGACAGTTTTCCAGAGCGCTCTGATTATTGCAAGCATGAATAGCTCCAGGCACCTGCATTTGGGTGTAGAGTCATGCCTCATGCCTCCTCTTCATCACCTTCTAAATGTGCTTTGGACATTCTGCAAAAATAAAGGTTTACATTGCTTATGCCTCACACATGAGCAGGACCTGAGTGAATAGCCATGCAGCTGGGAGAAGACTTGCTTTGCTTTTCCAGCTCCCACAGTGGCACAACAGAGGCTACAATGGGGAGAAGGGAGAACTGGTGCTGCCCATGTCTCTTTGGAAAGTCTGCACAACCATGAAGAAATGCCATGCGTTCAAAGTGCCCCATGACTGCATGTCTTTTCTGCCCCAAATGCCCCTTGTAGGGCTGTTCAGCTCAACTGCCCCAGCCTCAGGAGTTGCATCTACCTCTGCATTGATCCAGCTTCAGAGAGAGGAGCAAGACACCATCCCAACCAGCAAGCAGTCGGTCAATAACCTGCATTTTACCAAAGATCCCAATGAGAAACACAGCTCTTACAGACTGACTTGAGAGCTCTAAACCCTGACTGAAACATGCTGTGATAACACCGGCTGCTGCTCTCTGCAGAAACGTCCCTCAGCCAGGGGAGATCAGATATTGCATTTCTGCAAAGTCTCTGCGAGGTGGCTGGTGCACACGTCAGGAGCAGAGCACTGTGTCAGGAGGAGATGCAGATAGTCAATGAAAACATGTAGAAAGACAGATAAATATGCAAGGCGTTCGCTGGAAGAAGCTGTAGCAGGTGGCTACATGATGGAGAGCGTGAAATAGCTGTTAGAATACACTGAATACACTGTGATAGCAAGCAATGGACTGCATACCTAAGCTATCCTTTCTCACAAGATCTGAAGGCAAAATAATACTTGCAAAATTAAAACATCAAGATGAATCGAGGAAGGAAAAAGGTGGTGCCCCTTCAGATATCCTCACCTCTGTGCTCTGAAGTCCTCCAGCAGACAAGACAGTTGGGCAGAGCATCACACTCATGCCTGGGTGTTTCACATGTGGAAGAAGCTGCTTGTTTTTATAATGCCCATGTGAAATCTCATCATGGATGAGGGTCATCTGAGACCTTCCCCTTCACACCTCTAGGGTGCAATGACACATCCATCTGCCAGCAGCTTGGCAGCAGCATAAGGGTAAATGCTGCAAGAACAACCAGAACGATGCTAAATGTTTATGAAAAGCTGATCAGGAAACAAATGGGTAGAAAAAAAGCTGATTTTCATTGCGTTTTTCTTTCTTCTTTTAATAGAAAGATATTTTCTTCAAATGCCAAAAGCTGAACAAAGGCAATTAGTTCTGCAGTGAATTTCCAATGCAGAAGACATCTGGATGGAATTAATCTCCAGACTCCTAATTTTCGCTGTCTCCATGCAGGTGCCCACTTATGAGCTGAGTTTCTGATCTCATGGTATAGCTGCTGGGGATCTCCATGACATGGATTGAGGCCCATAGCTGGTGACCTAGTGCCCAGCTGAAGGCCTTGGCTCTAGGGTGAAGCTGCTGCCCAGCGCCAGGCCACGTGGGCATGAGGGTAATGTAGAGACATGGTTCTTGGATGCAGTCCTGTGCCACGTGCTTCAGGTGACCCTACGTGCGCAGGAGGGTTGGACTAGATGACCTCGAGAGGTCCCTTCCAACCTTAAGCATTCTGTGATTCTGTGATTCTTTGGAAACGCTGCTTGGGTTTCATCACTGATGGTGGTTAAAACAAGGTGCACCTTTGCACTGGTGGAAAATCTATTTCCAAAAAATCTCCTGGATGCAAGCGGATGCTTTCCAGTATATAGCAGGGTGGTGGCCCGTGCATCTCTGCAGCAGTATTGGGGTTGCTGGAGCTGCCATGGGATCAGCAGAGAGAACCCAAAAGCCGTAAATAGGAAATCTGCATTTCTGTGAGGTGGAGCATGGGGCACCGTCTGCACGCCAGTGACTGTGCAGGCAGGGCAAAAGAAGCCTGAGGGAGATGTGCTATAAGGCTGCCAGCAAGAACAAACGTAATTTGGTTTCTGTGTTAATTTTGTGTCAGCAATGAGAGGATTACTACACTTAAGTCTCAGTTAGTCCTTGGATATGAAAAAGCAGATCATACTTCACCATTTCAAATAACTTTATCCCACCACTTTTGGTTTGGGATGGAAAATGAACATGTGTCTGGCTCTCTTATGAAATATAATCTGTCCTGAAAAAGCAATGAACAGAGGGGAGGAGAAGGAGATAAGAATGACAAAGGCAGACCAGAGAGGATAAATCGCATTGGAGTCCCATATCCTACTTTTCCAAAGGTTACTAATGGGGAATCACAAATCTCTTAATATCCACACATAATTTCTCAAAGCTTTTGCAGCACATTGTCATTGCTGCTGACATGAGCAGCAGGTGATGAGGCTTTCTGAGCACCATCAAAGCCCTCGTGCAAGAAGCCCCTGCAGCAAGGAGCTGTGCAAAGCACGGGCAAACCCGCTCAGATATGAGCAAGCCTGCTGGGGACGTGCTGAGGTCCCCTTGGTGATAAAGCTTTTGCATACGAATGGGCAGGTATCTTGTGAGGGGCGTCCTTTGGAAATGCCACCCGATAAGCACGTTTCAGCCAAGCAGTTATTTGCACATGGGGAAAACGTAGCTATTCCTGCTCAAATCCCCACGCAGGGCAGCGTGAATAGCAAGCACCTGGGGAAGGGCTGCAGGAGTCCAGCATCCATGGCCAGCCTGGGTGTTTCTACCCCGTACCTTGGGAGAAGTAACCCTGCTATTTGCATCTCAGAATCAATAAAGCATCTTTTTTTATTCGGTCAAAGCCAGTGCATTGCAGACTATCCCCATTTCTAGTTGTGTGCGAAAACACAAGCATATCCCAGGGATGCCTGCATGTTGCTATGAATATGTTCACATCTCACTAGCTGCAAGACCTGCCTTTGCCAATTCCCCGTTACGCTGACATTTTCCTGCAATCCTGGTGACTGTAGGAACCAGACCAGATATGAGTATCTGAGAGTCCTCCAGCTATCACGCCCCTTGCACTGACATTAACATTCGAATAGTCATTCCTTCAAAGGCTTGGAGGTTCTATTAATCCATTATATCTCTTAGTAAGAGTTTTTAAAGTTACGACAGGCAATTTGCCACGGCTGTTACTGAGAGTGTTTCAGTGCAGAGAAAACAAGGATTCTTCTCTGATAAGCGTAAAACTCATACCCCTAATATTTTTTCACAGCACAGGCTCCATTAATTATCCTATCACTGGTGTTTGACTAATTCTTTCCCTTAATACTTGTAAAAACCATGCGAAATACCTGTTATAAGCAAGACCAGTTTTATCTTCCACCTGATGCTTTCAGCATGTTTTGCAAACCTGCCTGACTGCAGAGTTCTACCAGGGCCATGCATCAGGTCTGCAGTAGGGCAGGTTCCACCAGGGCCTAACCCAACAATTAGGGGAGGACAGAGGTTGCACCTGCAGACCTGGGAGCCTGGTCCCACAGCCTTCTCCTGTTCGGGTTTTGCTAGTCATTATTGCATGAATTACACCATTCATCAGAATATGCATGTGACTGATGAGTCATTAACAACATGCAGCAGATGCATTCCTTTTTTTTCCTGATTTATATAGTGTATTGGGATAATTCTCTGTTCCTCTCCTCGAGCAATGCATTTACTTAGTGGTCTGTGCTGTCAATGGAATTCCCTGATGGATTCTCCCAAGAAGCACAACATGCTCATTTGTCAGAGGGCTGTGGCGGTGTCTCCGGCTCAAGAAACTGGTGGGAAAGAGCAACCTATTGCTGAGGATGAAGAGTGATTCCCTTCATTTCCAGGCTGTGTGGTGTAATTCACGGTGCTTCAGTGTTTTTTCAGCGTTTTGAAATAGCACTTGACGCAAACCTGCGCTGCACAGTTTGCAGTCCGTACGCAGCAGGAGCAGATCAGGAGCACATCACGGGGGAGTTCCGATGCACAATCTCCCGGGCTAGCCTTCCGGCTGAGCAGCTGGCTTGGGTAGGAAGCAGCCTTTTCCTGCATTTCCATCCCAGTTTGCACCAGCAGCAAAGTAAATTTCTGGCTGCCAGCACTGGAAGTTGTGTTATTCTGCATGCTGCACAAGCAAAGCCTCCAGCACTCCCCATATCACGTCCTCTCCATGCTGGCTCTTGGGCTGTGCCTCTACATGCAGCTGGTAGTGCTGCAGTCCTCCTGGCCCATGGAGATTATCTTCTACCCCTCCTTGTCTACTCTCTGTCCTTCCTGGTGACAGCTCTGCTTGTCCATGTGGCCTTTGATCAGCTGGGCTATCCCTCATCTTCTGCACCATGATGGGCAGCATCTGCATCCTCCTGCCACCCGCCTCCAGCTCTGCCTTGTAGAGCATCAGAACAGAACCAATTTAGAGAAGCATCTCTAGACTGGTTTGATCATGGAGCCCTTCAATATAAGCCACATGGGAGAAAAGGCAGGAAGCACCCTGCAAATTGCCGGTAGGGAATAGACAGATAGTCCAGATGGGAGGGGAGCTCAGGAGGTCTTGGGATGCTTCTTGGTTTGACTGCACACATGAGCGGGAAGCAGGGGCTTGTTGACCCAAAATAGCAGGAGAACACCTTAAATGGAGCTACAGATCACAGGCTTTATCTTGTGCCATAATCCTCACCCCAGGTGATGCACTGGGCTGATGCACATCAGCCCGTTGAGTTAGACACGGTGGCAACTGGGACCCATCTGCCCAGCAGCTCACTCACTAATGGTTTCATTGTTTTCATGTCTTGGTTATTTTTCTATTTTTTCCCCTATTTTGTTTAATAAAGCAACTAATAAAGACTGGAACTTGTCACCCTTGTCCTAGTGAATGAATATCCAAGCCTGGCCTGTTGCAACCCACAGGCTGCTCTATGCACCATGAAGGTGGTGGAAGGAGGACCAACATGTCCAAGGCCGAACACCCATTAACGCAGTGGGTTTTGCTCCCAGGGTGCTGTCAAGCGAGTGGCCCCATCTGGGAAGGGGGGATCCTTTGGGACCAAGGGTATTTGGAGATGAATGCCTGCTGTAGCGCGATACATCGCTTTTGGAAAGCAGCACCTTTGGTTAAGCCAGCTGACATGGCTGGAAAAGGTGGACAGCTTCTGGAAAAAGCATTCAAAGCTTGCCAAATATATTAACTTTTCTCAAATATATCAGCACACACAGAGACAGGAGCAGTGCAGATTTGGCCTCAGGAGGCATTTATTCAACCATTACAGCCCATGAGCGCCCTGAGGGCTTTTCCCACATTCGGAGGTGCTTGCGGTGGCGCAGGGGTTCTTCCTCGTCTGGTCGGTCCCCGAAGCCTCAGTGGTACCTGCGGGCCAGGGCGTGAGCCACGACGCTGACCAGCTTTTGCCAGGCAAACTGGCAAGCAGGGGTGAAATCGCTGGCAAAGTGGGCAGCCAGGACGATGATGAGGATGTCCCCAAGGAGCTGGAAGGGAAGGGAGGAAGCACAGGCAGGGTCAGCACTGCAAGGATGAGGCTTTACTTTTTCTCTAGTCTCTCCTATTTTCTATTCCTCTCTGACTGCAAACAGATTTTTTTTTCCCTTTCTGCAAGTTTTGTCTCCTCGCAAGCCTCTTTCCTTTCTGCTTTGCTCTTTTCCCTTGCAGCCCATGCACAGCCCCTGCTGCCTGCCCTTCCTGTCAATCCTCTCCCACACCACCCTCCAGGGCCTCCTCTGCCTTCTCCTGACTCTCTCCAACTGTGTCCTTGTTTTGGAGCACGTTAGCTGCTGCCCTTGCTGTAGGAACTATAATTTTCTTAATTGACCTGCTTAGCTTCCTTCCACCCCAGACTCCTCCAACCCGTGCTGCTACTGCATCTGTTTGTTTTTCTTGTTCCCAGACCAAGCACCTTCCTAAAATTTCTCCTCCACAGTGCTGCACCCCGTGCAGCTACAAATGGGACCCTGTGAAGGCCACTTTTAGTTGCACAGAGTTGCTCCATGTTCAAGGCAAAACCTGTCAGTCCCCACACTTTGCAGGGCCGGGGCTCAGGCCACCAGCATTGCTCACCCTGAAGTTCTCGGGGTCCACGTGCAGCTTCTCGCAGTGCAGCTCTGACAGCTTGGAGTAGGTGGCCTTAATGTTGTCCAGGTTCTTCACGGCCTCCCCGAAGGAGGTGAGCACTTTCCTGCCGTGGGCACGGACCTTGGGGTTGCCGAGGATGGCGGTGGGGCTGGAGAGGTTACCGAAGGAGGAAAAGAACCTCTGGGTCCAGGGGTAGACGATGAGCAGCCTGTGGGACACAAGAGACACTCAGACATCATTAATGCTCCCCAATAGCACCTGCTTCTGGTGTTCGGTGGCTGCAGGAGCCCAACGTACCTGGCCAGAGCCTCGGCCCCGCATTCCTCCACGTTGACCTTGCTCCACACGCTGGTGATGAGCTGCTTCTCCTCGGCACTCCAGTGCACCATGGTGGCGGCGGGACTTGCTTGTGGTGGCAGGAGGACCAACCCGTGTGTCTGCACCGCGGACCCCCGGCGCCTTTTATCTGCTGCCGGCCGCTCCTCCCCGCGCCGCGACGCGGGGCCATTGGCCGGGGCCGGGGTGGGGGACCCCATACTGGGAGGCCATCGAGTTATCTCGAGTCCAAGAGCTTTATCCCATCGCTCTGCTGTCCAGTGGCCACCAGTGGGCCCCTCTGCAAAGAGAGGCCTGCACCATCCCCGTGCAACCTAAAGCCCGATTACTGTGCAACCTAAAGACCCAGTTATTGTGCAATTTAAAGCCCTATTGCCGTGTAAATATAGCCCAAGTTTTTTACAAAAACATACATGAGATTCAGTGGCATGTGCAACCTTGTGCCTTGACTCTTCCAAGCGGTGGATCTTGCCCTGCCTTAGCCCCTACTGTCAAGATGATGAGTTCTCACATGAACCTGCAGGCAATGGCAGAGCAGCCGGCTGCAAACCCTTTTGCTCCCCATGCATGCTCTGCAGGAGGGCTTGGTGACGTGACGTGGAGCACGGGGGACACCGCAGTCCCTCCAAGGGCACAACGGGTGGTCGGTTCCATGGATGAGTCCTGCATTCGTTGTACTTCCTCTAATGGAGACCCAGATCCCAGGTGAGGGGCTTATCCTGTGGCATCCCCAGGGTCCAGCAAAGCCCCCTCCCCAGCAGCAATGTGGTTGCAGGCAGAGCATCTGTTTTCTTTTTGAGGTTCAAGAACCAGGATGTTTTCTGAAGACCCCAGGGCTGTGAGTCTGATCCCACAGCTGGGTTTTTAGTGCAATTTTGTTTGGGATAGGTAAAAGGCACCGGGTCCTGCAGGATGAACAGGAACAGTGCCGGAGGAGGGGTTCTGCAGGGCTAAAGAGCTGAACAAGATCCCAGGCTTGCTCTCTTCAACTAAGAGTCTGTTTTGGCTCTGCTGAAAATACAGAAAGGGGAGGAAATTCAGCTGGAATTGGAAAATTCAGAGTTGAATTTTTCAGTCTAATAACATTCCTTTTTTCCC